CCGTTCTCACGTGCACTCACACATGCATTTCATAGGTATCTTGATATTTTACAAAACATTATTTTCACAGAGTAAGCTAGTAGACTACATTTGTAAACACGATTTAATCGACAGAGCGAAACTCCCTCAACAGCGAAAATCGTAACGACCTCGAGCTTATGAACTCGTGTAAACACGCGATATGCACATGTGAGGTCGGTACGTCCGCATTCCATGTGTTTCCTATATGACCTTATTGAGGTCGTCTGGTCTCATGTCACTGTCTTCCCGTGAGTCTGTTTATGTCAATGAATTGGAAAGCTTTATTCCTGAAGTACGTGTGAGTATACATTTCCCGGTAAAATCTCGATATCGGGTGTTGACATATCATCGGCACGCACGTGTACTATTGTTTACCATGGGCCTGTTCGTTTATGCGGAACAACTGGTTTGACCGTTTATAAATGTAATAATTTCGGGTATAAATCCTGGCGGACCTGCAAATGTGTATGCAGGCCTTGCAAGGCTTTCTCAAGACTCGCCTGAAAGCAGCATCAGATTTCTAGGTCCGACCTTATTTAATAAACGAACAACAGTGGTCCGCTCGGTTTGACCGTTTAAACGAAAACGGCCCAGCAGGTGTTACTATAATTTGCACTACGATATTGAATGCCCGATACGCAATACGGAAATGACGACATGGTGTACATGCACATTTCGATCAAGATAATTGGGTCCGAGCTTTACTTTTTCCGGAAGTATGTCACGAAAATGGACGCTGATGACGATGTGTGGAGCTACCTTAAATTAGAAAAGTTTCAGTAACTAATTTCCTTTTTAAAAGTCGATTGGTTTTCAGACCAAACAGTATCGAAAAAACACAATACAGGTAAACTATAAAACAATTTCAGCTTTACATGATTTGAGAAGAAACTTCAATAAAAATTAAAATTCCTAATTCTTTTGTACATTCTTAAATGGTATAACATCAAATATTAAGCATTGAAAGATGAAGAACTTATGATTTTTTTTGAACAGAAATTGGGTAAGGTAAGATGGAGAATAAATGCAGCAAGTATCTAAACCAAAGCCTTTCAGCGGCACTCCTTATGTTACACAGGAAGGAGAAAATACACCGCTGTGACTGATATTTTACATATCTACAGTGATCAAGTTACTGGACGGCAGTTCACAAGGTTCTGAATAGTCTGCTAAGAGCTTCAGACAATAACGATCAGAATTCCTGTATGTATTGTACTAAATAGAAAATATGTGCTGAAAGGTTAAAACTTCCATGTTACAGTTAAAGTATGAGCTTGTAGGATAGAGCAACTTTCTGGTTCCCACCAGACAAAAGAGGATTGAGGATTAACTTCCTGGACAGTTAAGTCTACGCAAAGCAGGGATATAATTCATTCGACAAGTTACTTTTATACAGAGTAAATAAAGAACATGTACATGAAATCCTCTTAAATTCCAGACTTTAAAGACAGCGTGTCTGATTATAACTCTGTAAACGATCAGAAAACAAACCCTTCACTGTCGCTGTCATCACTGTCCACATTATTGCCTTTCTCCATCTTCCACCGCTTAAAGCGGTCAATAAGGTCTGTGAGATATGTCGTTTTTCTCGCCCGTCGGATGAAAGGGTGTCGTAATAATTCTCTAGCTTGTGGTCTCTGTGTGAATAATACAAAATGTTGAAAACACAGGAAAAAAAACAATCCTCCTTCAAATTCAAAGATAGTTGCATTAATGCTCACAACACAAACATGGCATTGTCTACTGTTTGAAAGAATTATCAAATGAATATTGTATTCTAAATTCTGCAAAAAACAGATGAAATACTCATGATTTTTTTGTAAAAATTTCGAGAGCAAAGTATTTTTTAACTAATTGCAGAATGGGATTGGGGAATTAAGATTAGGATTGATGTGTTTTTGCTTACATCCAAATTGGGAATTTAACTTCCCTACAAATTAGAAAACTATATTAGAGATATCTTTTGTTTTGCAACGATTACTTATAGGTCTCTTGCAGATTTATTGTTAACAAGTTTTATCACATATGATTTTAAACCGGGTAAAAATGAAGGCCAAACTTTGGCTCCAACTTTGACATTAAACACACTGCTAACTCACATTATTAGGGTCTTTATTCAGACATTGTTCTACAAACTCCTTGCAGCTTTTACTGTAGTTTCCTGTCAGTTGAGGAGGATTGTTTTTGGGTATAAGAAATAACACTCTCATGGGATGGAGTTCGGAGTTTGGGGGCTCGCCCTTGGCCAACTCTATGGCAGTGATGCCCAAGCTCCATATATCAGCCTGAAACAACAAACAACAAATCTCTTACAGACATGAAATAGTTCATCGGGTGGAGGGTCTTTTGTCTTACTCCAGGAACAAAATCTGGAAATGACAGTAGCGTAAAAAATCACAACTACCACTATGCCTTTATATTTTTTTCTTATTATTTTTTTTAATTTATTTTCTGTTGGTACATTTAGTATCTTATTAAACACTTCTGAAATGAAACCTTCACAATATTTGTAAATTTTCTGATGAATGATTGAAAGTATGAATGAAGCAGGACCCATCTGGGGTTCGATAACAACCTTGGTATCGTATGCCGACTGTTTGATCACTTCCGGAGCCATCCAGAACGGCGTGCCTACAAATGTGTTACGTTTGCCCATTGTATCGGTGAGCTGTCCTGCCACACCGAAGTCTGCTAGTTTTACGTCGCCATTCTCCGACAACAACACATTGGCAGCTAAAAAAATATGAAAAAACGTTCATGAGTTTGAAATGTATGACTTGTTGTTTTTGAAATTTTTCTGGAAACTGCCCAGATACTATGAACATGTTTCATTATGCATTATCACATTAACTAGATTCAAACCTTACGTGATGTTTGCCTTTTTTAAAATTTTATAATGAATTAATTTGTGCGAATACCACAAAATATTCATGAATACAGAAAAATGGTGCCACAGGTTTCTTATTTAATTTTGTCAAAAGGAGTACTTTATAAACCGGGAAATTTTTGCCAGTTTTAATAGCGAAATTAACACTGGGCAAATATATATTTTACCAGCATGAGGCGAAAATTTCCAGATATACAGTATTGGCACAATATTTACGTTTGTGATTGTCTCTTCATTTGAATTCACACAACAATCAAATATTAACTCACTCACCCCTGAAGTTTCATAATGAACTATTCAAACCTTTGAATTGGAAGAGTTCAAATGTGTCTTCAGGGGTCAAGGAGTTTAAAATCTTGCAAAACTTGTTAGACTAACAGTTCCTTATGAAATCTATTTTTGTGGTATGACAGAAATGTTTTCCTGGTGGTGGGAGTCGACCATCCACCTACCTTTATGACAGTCTACCGCCCTACGCCTTACAGCCGACCAGATCTAGTGCTCACCTTTGATATCTCTGTGTTATTTCCTCTCTGGTGGTGGGAGTCGACCATCCACCTACCTGTATGACAGTCTACCGCCCTACGCCTTACAGCCAACCAGATCTAGTGCTCACCTTTGATATCTCTGTGTAATTTCCTCTCTGGTGGTGGGAACGACCATCCACCTACCTATATGACAGTCTACCGCCCTACGCCTTACAGCCGACCAGATCTAGTGCTCACCTTTGATATCTCTGTGTAATTTCCTCTCTGGTGGTGGGAGTCGACCATCCACCTACCTGTATGACAGTCTACCGCCCTACGCCTTACAGCCAACCAGATCTAGTGCTCACCTTTGATATCTCTGTGTAATTTCCTCTCTGGTGGTGGGAGTCGACCATCCACCTACCTGTATGACAGTCTACCGCCCTACGCCTTACAGCCAACCAGATCTAGTGCTCACCTTTGATATCTCTGTGTAATTTCCTCTCTGGTGGTGGGAACGACCATCCACCTACCTGTATGACAGTCTATCGCCCTACGCCTTACAGCCAACCAGATCTAGTGCTCACCTTTGATATCTCTGTGTAATTTCCTCTCTGGTGGTGGGAACGACCATCCACCTACCTATATGACAGTCTACCGCCCTACGCCTTACAGCCGACCAGATCTAGTGCTCACCTTTGATATCTCCGTGTAATTTCCTCTCTGCGTGGTGGTGGGAACGACCATCCACCTACCTGTATTACAGTCTACCACCCTACGCCTTACAGCCGACCGGATCTAGTGCTCACCTTTGATATCTCCATGTAATTTCCTCTCTGGTGGTGGGAGTCGCCCATCCACCTACCTGTATTACAGTCTAATGCTCTATGCCTTACAGCCGGCCAGATCTAGTGCTCACCTTTGATATCTCCATCTAATTTCCTCTCTGGTGGTGGGAGTCGACCATCCACCTACCTGTATTACAGTCTAATGCTCTATGCCTTACAGCCGACCAGATCTAGTGCTCACCTTTGATATCTCCATGTAATTTCCTCTCTGGTGGTGGGAGTCGACCATCCACCTACCTGTATTACAGTCTACCGCCCTACGCCTTACAGCCAACCAGATCTAGTGCTCACCTTTGATATCTCTGTGTAATTTCCTCTCTGCATGTAGATACTCTAGTCCTTTTAGGATTTCCCTTAATATAATGGCAATGTCAGACTCTGAGAATGGTCCAGCCTTCATCAGATCCAGCGCCGAGCCCCCACCCAAGTACTCCATAATAATCCATAATTTAGACCCCTGCAATGAAAATAACGTAAAAATTTACAATTTTAATTTATTAACTCTGATGCCCCTATAGCAGTTTTCTAAAGGCGGCATCAATTTAAATGAGCGGGCAGTTGTTTATCAACATGGAATTACAAGACCTACAGGATATGGTTATACATGTACATTATAAATATAGCTCATATAACTCATTCACCCCTGAAAGTTCATAATGAACTATTCCAACCTTTGAATTGGAAGAGCTCAAATGTGTCTTCAGGGGATGATTGAGTTAAGGTGTTGCATTTTTTTTTTTACTTAAGAACAATCACAACTTGAGGTATGATTCAGGGTATTTTTTGTAATGACAAATGGAATAACACACATGGAAATAGGATTAATATTAGTTTGTGAAGAACCAATATTAAAACAGAATCCAAGTATTGTTTTACAAAGGACTAAGATTAGGATTTATATTATTCTGTGAAGAAGAAATATCATAGGTTGAATCAAGGCATTTTTTTAAACAAAGGATTAAGGTTAGGTCTGATAAAGTTTTGTGAAGAATGAACCATTAAGGTAAAATCTAAGGTCTTTTTTTTAACAAAGGACTACTTGAGGTTTAATACTCTTTTGTGAAATTAAACATAAAAGTGAAATCTAAGTTGTTTTTTTTACAAAGGTGAGGATTAATATTATTTTGTGAAGATATATAATTGATGTATTTAATTATGAAAGACTAACAAACCTTGAGATAGGACCCAAAGTATTTTGTGACGAAGGGACTATCACATTGTGACAAGACCATAATTTCCTGTTGAATATCTTCTATTTCATCCTCTGCTTCCTCTAAGTCTATAATTTTGATGGCCACCACTTGCTGTGAGCCGTTATCAATCCCTTTGAACACTTCTCCAAATGAACCTTTTCCTATTTTGTCCAGCTTCGTAAAGCGCGTTTCCGGGTCGATAGACATTCCGGAACTTCTCTGTAAATAGAAAAACAAAATGATGAATTCATCAAAACCAAACCAATCATTGTTTGTTTTTCGGGTTTTACATATTCCCAATAAGTGCAAGGTGATTTCAGATAACCAAATCATTATGATCATGCAGTTGTATACAGCAGGTACTTTTTTCTCAAAAACTGCTGAGTATTAATCCCAGTACCTACCAAGGATTAATCCCAGTACCTGCCGAGGATTAATCCCAGTACCTACTGAGGATTAATCCCAGTACCTACTGAGGATTAATCCCAGTACCTGCCGAGGATTAATCCCAGTACCTACCGAGGATTAATCCCAGTACCTGCCGAGGATTAATCCCAGTACAATGCTGAGGATTAATCCCAGTACCTGCTGAGGAGTAATCCCAGTACCTACTGAGGATTAATCCCAGTACCTGCTGAGGATTAATCCCATTACCTGCTGAGGATTAATCCGAGTTGCCTACCTGCCGAGGATTAATCCCAGTACCTGCTGAGGATTATTCCCATTACCTGCTGAGGATTAATCCCATTACCTGCTGAGGATTAATCCCAGTTGCCGACCTGCTGAGGATTAATCCCAGTACCTGCTGAGGATTAATCCCAGTACCTACTGAGGATTAATCCCAGTTGCCTACCTGCTGAGGATTAATCCCATTACCTGCTAAGGATTAATCCCAGTTGCCTACCTGCCGAGGATTAATCCCAGTACCTGCTGAGGATTAATCCCATTACCTGCTGAGGATTAATCCCAGTTGCCTACCTGCTGAGGATTAATCACAGTACCTGCTGAGGATTAATCCCAGTACCTACTGAGGATTAATCCCATTTTCTGCTCAGGATTAATTCCAGTTACCTACCTGCTGAGGATTAATCCCAGTACCTGCCGAGGATTAATCCCAGTACCTGTCGAGGATTAATCCCAGTACCTCCTGAGGATTAATCCCATTTTCTGCTGAGGATTAATTCCAGTTACCTACCTGTCGAGGATTAATCCCAGTACCTACTGAGGATTAATCCCATTTTCTGCTGAGGATTTATTCCAGTTACCTACCTGCTGAGGATTAATCCCAGTACCTGCCGAGGATTAATCCCAGTACCTGCTGAGGATTAATCCCAGTACCTGTCGAGGATTAATCCCAGTACCTCCTGAGGATTAATCCCAGTACCTGCTGACGATTAATCCCAGTTGCCTACCTGCTGAGGATTAATCCCAGTACCTGCCGAGGATTAATCCCATTTGCCTACGTAGTAGAACCTGATGTTAGCCCTGATTAATTCTATAAATATCAGTAATATCACATATGCTTATTTTATTAAATGAAACAAACTTACCAAGCTGTAAAATTACATTTTAACCCTTTCACCCCTGTACTATTTAACTTTCGCAGACTCTGCCATGCATTGATATGGATGAGTCCATTATGGTCTACGGTGGTGAAAGGGTAAAGATGCACAAGTTAAGGATACATTTTCTATATTAAGCAATATATCCAACATTCAATGATACATTCATTCACCCCTTAAGATACCTTAATTTTTTAACCTTACCAAATCTAAGACTTGGAAAGTCCAGTTTACAAATGTAGGGATGAATGAGTTAAGAATGCTGCACTAAATATGTACATATATGTATATGCATTAAACACCATCTTCTTAGTAGGTCATATCTAAAATACATCAAATGGTCCAATATTTCCAATTTAAGGTTGAAAGTGGCCTGTTTTGGAGCCAAGTCAACTTGTAAAATGTCTTAAACTACCACAGTGACAATGTCAGTGCATGTGTGCATGTACAAATGTAGAAATTGGAATACCTAAGACAACTTAATTATTTTTGCATCTGTATCATAAGAAATACAAATATTGTTACAAGTTTGAACACCTTTTAGTAGACAGGTATATACAGAACAGAGAAACTGGCAGAGTTCAAAGTATTACGACAACATAACGGTGTCAGTCCGAGATTCATTACATGTTTGTCACCCAGTGGCAATCCTCTAGGGGACTGCTACTTAGGTATCTGTAGACATAAAGTCAAGTATGGTGTTACGTATATAAATATTGTAATTCATACTTGCCTAGCATTCCTAATTTAGAGGACGTCCATCCAAATTTTTAATCGCTCAATTTACCTGTAAATTCAGCAGATTCCCTACATTTTGATTTTTTACTAAACTTAAACTAGTTTACTGTATAGAAAAGTTGAATTAAACAAGTCAAAGATAAGACTCATCGTTTTTAGTACTTTCAAGGAATATCTTAATAATTTGACCTGCAGTTTAATTTCTGCATGAAAAATTTGAAACATTGCTGTATGTGTTAAATTAGTATTATTTATTTGTATAATTGTTTGGTATAATTAACAGTATATTATGGGTTGACTTTTGGCGAAAGAAATAGCGGCATCCGTTTTTAGTATCTTCACAGATATTTCAGATTCACAGACGCCCAACAGATAAATTACTGAATGAGCTGTAATGACGTACTGACTTGACACTGGATATGTGTCTAGTAGTTCGCTCTTACTTATGTAGTTTAAACTCATTCACCCCCTGAAATTTCATAATGAACTATCCCAACCTTTGAATTGGAAGAGTTCAAATGTGTCTCTAGGGGTAAATGGGTTCAGCCTATATATCATTATTGAAACTTAAAGGTACCTGGTACATATTTATGGAAAGCTTTTTCTACTCTGCTGTGGCCATTAGTGGGTTTTTTTTATTGCACCTTCGATTCATGCATGGTCTCTAGGCATAAAATTTGGCATATAAAAGATTAAATGTAAAATATAGCTACAGAATTTTATTAATTTCCATCTGGATATAACTGTAGCACAGTTTGACCAGAACGCTTCCGTTGACTGGGAAACGCGTAGCACAATCGGTTCATGCAACAGTACAGTATAACAATCTGAAGTCTGGGGTTCAAATTCCGGTCTAGCCTCGATCATTTTTTACACTTAGAAAACAGTTACTGTTTACATTTTGTTTTGTTTATTTCATCTTTATTATTTCTCATAAAAGTGGCTGTGGAACGAGGATCCTGATCATGAAGTGTTTATTTTGTAGAAAAATATTATAGATAATTCATTAGTCTTTTCTTTTACATCACCTTTGGATGTGAGCGATATAAGTCTATTGATATTAAAGGGTCCATATACATGCATTTAGTGAAAAGATACATGTATTTTTTTTAAACATTTTAAAGATGTTGGTCTGCAAATTTTATGGGTTTAACAATATCACTGTTTTTACCACTATTTATCTGATAAGAACCATCTTTAATCAAATATAGAGCCTTTACGAGACTGTGAAGCCTGCTAGGAAGTTTGTAAGACTATGTACACTGTACATGTCAAGCAGACTGTAAAATCAATAGCCGTTCAATTTCGCGGAATGTCTTACCAGGGCAAGGTAACCGAGTACTTTATTGTGTTGCTAGGCATTTTTCAAGTGCAGAAACCTTACGTTTATTAAAGATGAAAATTTAGATCTTTGTAATGTTCTGTGTGTATATCGCAAGTCATACAACGATTGTGAAATTTTCATCTTTTATCATCATGTTTTGCTTAAATTTAGTATCAAGTTTTTCTCTGATGAAAATGATGAGTGATATAAAGTGGAATATTTACTTTATTAATGATAACGAGAATGATTGAAATATCCATATTAGTCTTTTTATCAAAAAGAGGACCTGATACAATACTAGTGTTATTTTATATACTTGTAAGAGTTGATTATACAACTCTCCATTCTTACCATCACCAATAAATGTTTTGCTGTACTTCCTTCCATTAGTTTCTGGCAGTGTTTTTGTTACCTAAATTTTACAACAGCCTATTCCTTTATGAATTGGGAAAATATATTAATTATTTGTATTAAAATTGAGATTATGTTCTTCACTTTTTGGTCCTTTTGGGAAAATAAAGCACTTTTTAGCTAGGAAAAGCGGCTAGTATTCAGTAATAAAACTGTCTGGTTGTGATTTTTAGGATTGTTCATTCATAGATTCATATCCTTTTCTAAGAAAGCTCATTTTCATGTCCGTTATTTAAGTATGTAGGGAAATGCTTACTGGAGATGAACATCAACCGTAATGTAAACATTATCTATCATTGTATACGGCTGTCTGTCCGTACTGTATAATACCGTCATATTTCAAATCAAATTTACTTAAATCTTATTATTCAGAATTATGGCGATGGACTATTTATCAAGATTTATATTATGGTAATTGTGTAAAATTGCAAAGGAAACCCCTTTTAAAGCTTGAATATTTGTCTGAACACTGTCAGTACACACAATACATTCATCTACAGTTTAAATTTACTTACAGACGGTGACGACCGATCCAGTAACATTTCCACTACACGGGACAAAGCTTAATAAATGATAACATCCACATTCTTTCTTGGAAACTAGAATGCAATAAAATGAACTACCACGACCGCATTATCTACAAATTGTAGTTTCGTGGATAATGACAGAAGAGAACGTCACACACCGCCTCACCGAACAATTCTTAACTCTCAACAATCGTGGTTAGACGTAGAGTTTACAGAGTAATATTCGTGACGTGAGGAAGCCCCAGGTGTCCAGTCACCTGTGATGGGAACAAACTGTGATGTGTATTGACAAATGTACACACGCCCTACATGTAAACATGACCAATGCACACTACTCATACACTGTGCTGTGTTATAGATTATATATCATGACTTGCATCGTATACAAGTTAAACATGGGGTGGAAAACCTCCAGTTGAAAATAGAAAGAATTTTTTACTCAGTCAGAGATTGAAAAGTAAGAATTTTTTACTCAGTCAGAGATTGAAAAGTAAGATTTTTTTACTCAGTCAGAGATTGGAAAGTAAGAACTTTTTACTCAGTCAGAGATTGGCAAGTAAGAAATTTTAACTCGCATCACAGAATGAAAAGAAAGAATTTTTTACTCAGTCAGAGATTGGAAAGTAAGAAATTTTTACTCAGTCACAGATTGGAAAGTAAAATGTTGACTGTAAAAGATGGGTTGGAAATTACAATATAGGAAGGTATGGATCAGGTGGTGGAGGTGTCAGAAAAGTTGGTTGAGATGTGGCATACATGTATACGGTATTCAAAAACAGGAAGCTGGTTGTCAGGTGTTTAGGTGTTGGGGGAAAAACTTGTTGAGGGCCGAGAGATTTGAAAATACTGATAAGCATAGATTACAGAGAGGTAGGTTGAGATATGTCAATTTTTTTAATTTACAACATTGATATTATCCATTAGTCGGTACATAAACAGTACTTTTTAACTTTTGAAGTCTTGCATAAATTACAAATCTCATAAAACAAATAATAGTCATAAAATCAACTTTAGTCTCTCCCATACTTTTCCAACTTATTGACAATTTTCATCACACCATTACTTCCATTTTGTTGACAGACAATTTCAAATATCATAATAAAGGGTATTAATTCATAAAAAACAAGAGGGAAAAAAAGTAAAGAAAAGTTATCCATCACAAAGTTTATAAACTTAAATTTACTAGTGACAAAATCTCCACCAAGAACAGAGCAAGGTGACCAGGAGGACCCTCTGTTTAGGATGTGTAATATGTACAGCAGTGATAGATTTGTGTACAATATTTAATGTAACTCAGTCACTCAGTGTGTCCTGCCTCAACAACTGTATCAGGGTGATATCGTTCTGGTTTACGTTTATAAGGAAGTACAATACTGCACCATTCATAATTATTTTTGGCACATCACTACCATGTCATATATATTTTGTGTACTGTTGTAACAGCTAAGATATGATGGGAATTTCCAGTGATGGGGTATAACCCGGGGACCCGCTCACTACTTCAGCAATGTTGAGCGTGGTCAGTAGCTGGATGGGTGACCGCTCGCACGTTAAACTGTCTCATGGTCATTCTATGACATCCATCGTGACATCAATATTAAAACATAATGTCATGATATTTTGATGTCGCTTTGAAGGAAAAAGACATAAAATCAAAATAATGACACTTAAAATTTGACAACGACCAGATATAAAAAGTATTTTTCCTGATTATTGAGGAAGCATACATTCTCTGTATTACAATAAAATTATCTTAAATCCTAAATTTGTTTTAAAAATTTGCAATGTGATGATAACTCCCTTAACTCATTCACCCCTGAAGATACATTTGAAATCTTCCAATTCAAGCGTTGGAATAGTTCATTATGAAAGTTCAGGGGTGAATGAGTTAAGATACATTTTTGCACAGCAGTGAATCAGTGATTCATTTTATAAATACCTGCACATACAAGCATTGTTTGGATATGTCTCGGTTGAGAAACCCATTTCATAATGTTTTCAAAACAAGTTCCTGAACACAAGGAAAACTGTCACTGTCATCCAAAGGCTAAACTTGATATAAAGTGTTGGTTTGTTATTATATTTGTGAACTAATTTAGTAAACTGTACCAAATATTTCACAGTAATTTGACCAGTAAGGCAGTTTATTTGCATTGGTAGAGCTAAATAATGAAATAACATTTGTATTTCTTCCTTTTTCAAACGAACAATGTAAGTTCCTGGTAGCAGAATGTATTCATGATCAGTATACCTAATTATAGCCTTTATGTGGGAATCAGGACCCAACGAACATCATTAAAACACTGTATCTTACCTAATAATCACCCTTAGCTATATAGGCATTTAGCAATTTAGGAAAGTAGAATGATAACAGATCCTTAAAAAATTCAATAAATTTTTTCATAAAAGACACTTTGTTTTTACAGAAATTAGGTAATTTATGGTGAAAGGATGGAATGCTTTGACCAGAAAATAGATAAGGGGCGCTAATAAGGGATTGGGTGTTCATTAGGTTGACTTTGGTATGCTATCTTATCAATAAATAATTGAAAGTAGCATTGAAAGTAGCACTTACTGAGTATATTCTGTTGGTAATTTTGATCCATCATGCTTGGCTTTATTTCTATGTAACATCACTTTATAGAAACAGACACTGTTGAACAACCTCATCAATATAAATGTTTGATACCTAGTAACATTTTGGACTCGGGGCCAGGTCAGAGCGGTTTTGATAATTATAGAGATAAGAATTAGATACTCCTGTATTATGTCAGGGTGTTCCGTTTGCTAAGTTAAAATTTTGGATATGAAAAAAGAGTTATCCTGAGTGTGTATATATTTCAGAATGATATACGAATTCCATAATAATTGAAAATTTAACATGAAAGGAGATAAAGAATCTTTGCAGTGGAAAATAGTCAAAATATTATACATTGGCTAAGTGAGGATGCAGAGGGGCTTGATCCCTTTCCTCTGATCGACGCCTGTCGTCTGTGCAGGGTTTCAGTAACAAATCACCTGGAGCGTACTGTACATGTTATTTTTAGGAAATATGTGATTAAATAAGTTTCTTCTTATAGTACCTACACCCAGATCCCTTATTATATCAAGTATGGTACTCAAACAGGGTCAGACGTTATTTAGTGTATTTATGGCATGTGAATTGATTTCCTTAACTGTGTAAGAAGATGACAAAGCTTAAAATATTTATCTCTAGAACCAACCTCATAATAGATCATTACCCTTTGTTTCAACAAAATGTAAACAGTGACCAGTTTTCAAACTTCACAAGTCTTGTGTAACACAAGTGTGATGCTTCCCTGATACCTGACCTTCTTTCCCTCTGTTTAAGGAGTGGACTCATCCTTATTCTAGATCTACAATTGTCTTGTCTAGATCTTCCATTATATTTTAAGGGTGATCAGGTTGAAATCTGACAACAGCCGCCAACAGTTAAAACCTCACAATATATTCTTTAAGTTATCATTGTGACATAACCCTGACCGTATTATGTACACATAACGTGGTATCTTACAAGTGTATAAAACGCAGATGTTACAGGCTAATATCTATGAAATGGAGATAACGTCATAAACATTTCACATGAAGTGTATTCTTATCATTCATAATAACAAGTTCCTGGCCTTATCATTCATAAGCATAAGTTTAACAGAACACACCCTCCTGTGTACACATATGACATCAGAGACAATAAATTCAATATTCTCCTAAGTGCATGTGAAAGATCGGTCGGCTTTATCTACGCAAAACACATCAACAGAAGTTAGGCAACATTTGTTTTTTTATCAAATTTACAACAATTAGATTTGAAATGTGTATAAATTACATGGTACTTAACAAACAATAAATTGAAAACATCTTATTTTGCTGTATGTTTTTTAAATTCAATAAATTTGTGGAGAACAAACACTTTTTAATTTTGTTGTGTTAAACTGACAAAGATTTTTTTTTAAAGAACCAATAAAACAGGGCTAGCTGTGAAGCCCAATGCAGGGCAACCTTTGGCAAAAGCATGAAATAAACACGATTGAATGTGTCATTGTACTCCTAGCCACTTCCTCATACCATTGTGTACCCAGGCAGCTCTAATACAGTCTAATCGGTGCAAACAGAACAAGTACAGAATGAAAACAGTATAAACAGTATGGTTTTATCTCTGTTGGTATATAAGGATAGATAGCACAAGAAAGAAAAATACTGCACAGAGTTGAGTCATAAGCTTCTCTAGATATAAGCAATCTTAAAATCTATCAGAAAAAAGTTCCATACAGCACAGATGCACATTATTTGTGGGCTGCTTCTTAAGCGAGGCTAAAGCTCCTTTTACCAGCTTTTTTAACATGTTCAAATACATGTACAATACTACTCTACATTTTAAAGACATATTTTCATCAAAATTTCATAATGTCTTTAGATTTGATTTAAAAATCAACCACAGAAATAAATATCAAGAACAAAATACAGGTCCAGGGGGGGGCATGCTGTCAAACAAACTAACACGGATTTAGATACAAAAGCCTCCACCAGACTAACAGTACCCCCTATACAAGGGGGATTTTTTTTTACACACAACAAAAAGGGTAATTGTGACCCTGACCTTTGACCTCCTCACCCCAAAATCTTTAAGGCTCATTTATAAAACCAATGGGTAGTTATCCCATAAGATCCTGTAGAAAGATGTTTTTAAGTGACCTTGACCTTAGCTTTGATGTGTTTTGACCTCATTGGTCATAGTTTCAAGGTTTCAGGTAGCCATAGCCAGATACCTCATAACATACAAACAACATATATATACATAGGAAACCTCCAAAAAGAATTTTAACATAACAGGTCATATACACGTTTTGCCCCAAGCTAGATAATTATAAATATGCAGAACTCTTGCACACCCCAAGGGTAGCTATCCTGTCAAGTTCAAATTTGAAAAGATATCTTACTATTTGAGTATGCAGAAAGAATTTTCACATAATACTCCGTCACCTTGACTTTTAACCTTTTGAACTATAAAATTCAGTTTAAAGGTTTTTCTTTCACTAATGGACAGACATCTTGCGAAGGTTAAACTCATTCACCCCTGAAATTGTATATTGAACTATTCCAACCTTTGAATTGGAAGAGTGCAAATGTGTCTTCAGGGGTGAATGAGTTAACAAATTAAGTTGAAAAACAATACAGGATACAGTCCAGAAACCAATATGTCTCCAGAGAGACAAGGTGATACTGTGTACTCTGTGCCTCCGTGCAATGTCAAAATCATAGGAGTTATATAAGAGTGTCTGATTGAATCTGATATACAACACCACTTTAAATTGAACAGGAGATTAGAAACGCATGATGTTCACCATATATACAATAGACTGTCTTACCGGGGTAATGTGATTTTTCTGAAGATTTCTGTCAGCCATATATTCTGCGTCATTGATATATTAAAATCCTCATTTCAATGGGATGTTACATTCATAGTTGAATGTTTAAAATGGCCCATAGCTATAGACGCTTGTACCTCCTGAAACAATCATGGCTGAAAACACGACTATATGGGTTTATCTTAGTGAAGAGCTGAAATCATAAACTTGGTGTGGGTAATATTATACCCTTGGACCCGATTTGATATACCACCTGACAGGTGTAGCAGTTAAACGAGGTATGTCCACACCTGTACTACACCTGTAATGGGCAAAGCAATCAGAACACATAAGGCATTGCACATTTACCGCCAGAAACCAGGAAGTGCCCACCCTGTACACTGAATCACATACTACTGGACTACTATTTATCACATGGCCTGTAGCTTATTATGCAAGGCAAATTGAAAGCTTAAGGATATTCACAGATGGTGTAATTCAAAAACACAATCTTCATGTTATTGATCTACTTTTGTTCAAAACAAGCACAGCCGGCCTGAATGTGTTAATCACACTGGCCTTGCTGATCAATTTCCCCTACATGACATAATTTCCTCATTATTTACTGGTTATAGGCCCCTCCATTTGCTTAATGTATGTATTCAAGTCAACAATATGTCTTGGTACATAAAAATAATTTATATTTATTGATAAATAACAACATTCTTCTTGTGGCTAAAACATACTTCCTGGTAACCTTATCTACCCTTCAGTTAGTGTGGTGTCTTCTCTGCATTATTTTACCTATGGAAATAAACNCCCCGACCATTACCAGAAATGATTGCAACCAAATTAAATACTAAATTACTAAATGTTTGGCCTCAAGCCACCGACACATTTTTGAGTGTTTACAATTATGTTTATATTTTATCTTAGGATCGACTTTGTCTAATTAAACGGATGATGCTAATTTTGAACATTGGACCATTCTGTTAAGATCTAAAGAAATTTCTTATATATAGCTGTAAAAAAAATCTCAAATATCGAGGCAGCAATTTTAACTTAGCACATTGTTCAATTTCTACCAGCTTAAGCTTGCACTCAGTCTGCGCAGACTTCAGGTTGCATTTCATTAATCATAGACTTTGCATCATGAACGAGGCAACAGATGTGTACACTTGCGTACCAACAAATATGAAGTTTTGCAATACAAGTGTTTCGTCACGTTTTAAAAGCAAAATATGCACATGTTGTATGTCACTTTGGCTCCAGGCTGCAGTCATCTGGCATGAATCAGCAAGTTCAAAAAGTATACTCACCATATCATCAAACTTTCGGTCGAAAAAAGATCAAGACAATTACAAAGAACAATATAATTGGCCTATATAGATTAGAAATGTTTGTTTACGGTGTAAACTACAAGCACATGGTCTTGTTTTTTAAAGCATGATTATATTAGTTCTTAATGAGATTAATAGAAAATTTTGAGGAGCATTCCAAAATTTCTTTATTTAATTTCATAACTTTTTTTTATGAATCAGGTGATGCATTTTGACCCCTGTCATATTTGGCCAATTCACCATTCAATGGGAGACAACATGCAACATAAGGTGAAAAATATGAGTCATAACATTAAGTATGTATAGTAAAATAGCATTTTTTTTGTTAACAAGTTATTTTCCATCACACATATTTTGATTGCTGAAACTGCTATCCGGTATTAACTATTAAATCATAGATGCTAGTCATAGCTGGCAGTTTTTGAAACATGAATTTAACAATGATTCCTTCTGTCATGGGTAAAATGCATGGTGTTATTGAGGTCTTGGAATGAAATAGTTTGAAATTATACTCATGCACTTATTTTAGGCCATACATATATATCTATCCAGATGTGACTGGAGAGAGAGAAAATGTAACGGCCAGACCGGGTTTCGAACCCTGGACCCTCTGACCTCTAGACGGACGCTCTACCAATTTATCTAACTGGTCGTCGACGCTACGTTCATTCCTCCCTCCTTATTCTAAGTCTTCACTCCCGAAGACACAACTATTTACAAACCAAATTTGGGTATCTCCTTGCTAAGCGTACTCCCAATGCTTAAAACAAGTATTGGCAAGCTCACCAATATTGTAACAGGGGAAAGAGAAAATATAATGACCAGACCGGGGTTCGAACTCTAGAAGGTAGAAGGACGCCCCACCAATTGAGCTATCTGATCGCCGACAACGACCCAGTCCAGTTCCGATACAAAGATAAAAAGGACGGTATAGGTATTTGCCGTACTATTTGGGTATTTAATTTTTCAAAACATTTTCCTTTGTGTTGATGGACCAAAAATCTTGACTTCACTAGTGTTTATAAAATAGGGCATACAAAAATCTTCTGGTTCAACATACAGTAAATATTAGGATAGGTAGCTATATATAGAATAATCAAAACCAGTATTTTTTTTCTTTTTTGCATAAAATTCCACCCTCAAAATCTCACCAAATCAAAATCGATGTACGATAGCATTGCAATAAAATTCTCTAAAAATAATTGCACCTGTCCATCCAGTTTTCTGAATATAGACATTTGTTTGGAATTTGAAAATGGAAAAAAGTTTTCATCATATTCTACAACTACATGAAATTGACTCACTGAAATATATCCCCAGATATGAATTTGTGAAAATCTCAAGTATTGTACTGTACTTAATAACATATTTTGCTAGTGGTTAACAGCCTGTATGCGAAGTCATGCTGTTTATTTAGAAACATCATATTGACAGAGAGAAGAATCATAGTAGGGAGTCTTTTTAAGCCCCAGATAAATCTAGGCCATGTGTTTTGAGGAGTTCTGTGTTCTCTGACCAGTTGCTGTTGGAAGGCCAGTGACCCTTACAAAAAAATGTGTAGCTACACTTACATACCTATCCTGTTATACAGGTCTGAATTAAGTGAATATATCCCGATACACAGACAGATGTTTGAATGAGATTCGAGTAAAGATTTTAATTCTAGAATATACTTTTTAATATACTTTAACTTCAAAACAACTTCTGTATGTCTAAAATACATACACACAATCTCAAATGTTTAAAATTAAATCACACCTACTTGAGGAGGGGGGGGGGTAAATTGTTTACAAATGTGATTGGCCTACACGTCACAGATATAGGACATCAACATACAATAGGGACCGAGTGCATCTGATCTTTCTTGTCATTTCATATCGATATTGTGTATCTCTAAACCTCTTGAAAACATGCTTACCTGTGCCATTTTTATTTCCAAATAGGTCTATGCAAGTTTGAGAAGTGTTCCAAATCCTCTCTGTTACTTGTGTATGACGAAGTTTGTGGTTTCTTATAATGTCTGCATGAGTTTGTACTCATGCAAAGTATTAGAAAATAAATCAGTTCTTTTGGAATTGATGGAAAGTCCTTTCAGCCCCGTTTATATTTCCTAACTCAATCCATTTCGCCATCGTTACTAGATTCCTGACTTGGACAACCATATAAATTCCGCCATCTTGTTTCAAGGGTGTGTCCTTCTTTCATATTGTGTAAATGAGCAGCTAAATATAGTTCTCAGATCACCTCCATCCTTTATAGGAAGTGGTGTAAATGTGTTAGTGGTATCACGAAGTTAACCTTATAGTGATGTACAAAGTATCAAACAGATCAAAACTTTAATAATGATACGAAAATAAAATATGAAAGAGCATCCTTGCGCAAAATAGCTATGTTGACCTTTCACCCTCAGGTAAAAATCCTGTAGTAAGGGAGGTAACTCGTGCGTTCGAGCACTGACTCGTGAACGAGGAAGATAACATTACATAACGGGATGTCTTGTCAAATTCTATTTACATAGTTTTTGTTCATTCATATTGTTTAATTTATTGTTTTAATATAGAACATATATTTCTTATTGTAACAAAGACGTAAGCATGTTTTTTTACGATAATTAAAAAATTAATAATATTAGGTTCTAATGTTAATATTAGACTGACTATAAATGAAAAATATTTTCTGTCTTTATAAAATTTCATACAATTCATCAGCGATAGAATTTGAAATACTTTCATAGGTGTGGTACGGGAAACATGTCTTATAAGAAAAACAAATAACGAAAACGTGACAATTATAACAAAAGAATGGGTGACGTACACGTGTCTTTCATTTAAAGGCGCCACCTAAATCAGGTCACGTGCACGATATGGAAGTAAAACAAGTATACAGTGGTATACATGTCTATTATCTGGTGAATCGACTCGTGGATGTGTTTTTTTTTACACAATTGAAGATTGAAAATAACTTTCCATTATTTCCAAGTCACATATATGGCACTGTATATCACAATAAACTAGTATCATGCCGCGAATATCGGAAATCCTTTAAAAATCACTGTACCGCAAATTCCGCGAACTTAGACATCTTATTACGTGCAAATTCCAAGAAGGAAGGATTTTGTAATTGATTGTCGTTTTTTTTTCTCAGTAGACTACAACTACAGGAGAATACATCTTCACATCATTGATAACACAAGTTTTAAATTTGGTATAACAACCCCTCCAAAAGTTTTTTTTAAATAAATGTGTAATAATAAATAAATAATATGAAACGTAAAAACAGATTTTTGTGCAGATCATATCGTAAGGTTTGCTATTATATTTTCTTCTTAATTTTTTAATTTTTATTTATTTAGTATTTAATTATTTGGAGGGGGAGGGAGGGGTGTTCAAAACAGATATAAAATCATCTTGCATGTAGCAGAATATAGTGGCAAGTTCAGTAAACGTGCTAAGAGACGATCTTTTCAGGTGAGGCCAAATTGATATTTGAGTTTGAACTCGATGATTAGCCAGAAGCAGTCAACCTCTTCATAATTGACTTTTTTCAAAGGTAAAAATACCAGGGAATGTAGACTATACATCACTTGTAAGTCAGTGTTGTATGGAAATGAAATATTATTTATATATATATTTCTATGGTAACCTTTGATATTTCAGTCAAATTATTTAAGACTCAAAGGTGGTAGACATGCATATATGTGCAACAAAACTTGGGAGATTTTTAAAACAGCCTTAACGAACTGTGATATTGGCACGTGGACGTTATCCCCTTTCCTTACTCAATAAGCCCTGTGAAGGGTTGGAGATTGTATAGGTGTTCGGTGTGTTTTGAGCTCGTATTTCCAGTCGCTCATATAGCGCCAGTAACTTTGTGACTACTAGAATTGATTCCAAACCTTGACCATATCTTACTCCACTCTGGATTTGCAGAGGGTGTAGAGAGCGAAAGTGAGCGTAACCCCTGGATATTGAGGATGATATATGTCCAGCCATTGATCTTCATTGGCAGCAATCGTTGGCCATAAAGTTTTTGCCAACTCATCTGCTGGGTGGTCGGGTTGCGCAGTTGGTAGCGCACTTGCCCGATCACGTGGGCCTTCTACGGGTACTTCGATTTCATCCCCCATTAAGACACAAACATCCAAGCTAACAAAGGTGATTGATTAAGTTGAAATGAACAAAGTTTATATATATGTCACTTGGACACGTACAGTTCCCGCCATTCAGAAATTTGCGAGCTGATTGTCAAGAAGTTCATTCAAGGTGAGATTTGGACTTTACTTGTTGCGATAGCATGTGCGTCCTTGTGTAAGCTTACAAGTACATAGTGAGGTACCAAACTCCGGCTGCCGTAAAGTCTGTGATAGATGAGGGGAGCGGGCATCGAGACACGTACGAACAGAACTGAAGAGAGATGCGAAACAAGACATGAAGGAAGTTTAAGCAACATATCACAAAGTTTTTGTGGTTTCCCCCAAAGTATATGACGGAGTTATCGTTCCTGGCGTACCACGTGATCAAGGACAGAGGCTGATATGGGAAATATGGCGGCGCGTGTCTCTTCAAAGGAAAAAAGGCAAAGAAGAATTGTCCACAATGACCAAATTGCGGAATCATATGCGTAAGTGAAATGTAGGGGTTGTAAGTTATATATTAAGTCTATATGCATCATGTTGGCCCGTCTCAACCGTTGAAATTGTAGTTTGTTTTGTGAAGCGTGTTTTTTTAGCGGTGTACATTCAAATTGCATCCCCGTTCGATTTGGTCCGCATATGCATACAGTTCCGCTACATTTTCTACACCATGGAAAAGATAAACTAAAATATTCTAAACCTATTTTCTAGACATGGGTAAGTATAGAGATAAACTTTGCAGGTGGCTTCACTCTTGATACGTCAGTTACTGACTCGTGGGGGGGGGCTGTGAGTGTTGGTCATGTATCATATGATCAATTATACTCCTTCACAAATATCAACTATAAAATCTCAAATTAAATTATAGGTGCATATTTTAATATCTTTGTTCCCTATTATTTTATAGTGGACGATTCCGTGTATCGTCTTTCTGAAAATTGGATAGACCCGCACTATATGTATAATACTATTGCAGGTTTTTAGTTGCCTTATTATTTTACTGACAGGCGTATAGTGACCTTAAACTCTTGTTTTTGTTCCAGTGACCTTGGTGCCGTACGCCTACCATACTCCAGAAGAACGGCAAGGCCCCGAGAAACATGGAAAGAAGGCCTCTATCCTGTGGAGGTGCAAGAGGGTCCCGACGACTCTACTGTTAGAGTTCATTATATTGGTAATTATCGGTTACAATATGTTCAGTGTTAAATGGCCTAATTATCCCCTCACAACAGCGTTGCTGTGGGGATATTGCAACGCGAATGTATGTCTGTGTGTCCGTAACAAAATGGTGTATACACAGCAGAACTGTCCAATGGATCTTCTCCAAACTTGGTAGGGTCATGCACCATGGACCGAGGATGACGACTATTGAAAGTCAAAGGTCAAGGTCACGGTCAAAGAATATATTGCGAGGGGATATGCCCCGCTTTGCGGTGCCCTTGTTTAGCTTCCGACAAAAATTCATGTGAACTAAGATATTAAAATCTCTTTAAGACAAGTTATAAATAAATTTATAATTGTTCTAAATAATTTCTATTAATATATTTATTTTTCAAGATTTACTGTATTCTACTTTCTTTTTTCCAGGTTGGGACAAGAAGTACGATGAAAATAAGAGGAAAACTGATATTGTGAGCCATCCATTGCCTTGTAGTGGTATACTGAATCAACTAGCAATACAAATTAAAGAACAATTAACAGGAGGTCACAAAACGGACTCTTCCATAACCGTCAGAATAGAGATACATAACAACACGGACATCCAGGATGTTGAGTGGTTTCTGGCATTGGGAACTGTTTATAAGAGGTACAAGGATAGAACTGTTTATATTATAAACAGTAGAAACAGTCTGTGCCCAGCTCTCGGCGAGTCCTGGGACTATAGAGTGGTGAATAGTAACTGCGACAATTACTACGTAAAAACAGAGACGGTACGATTCTACGTGAGGAACAAGCGTCCTTTGGTCGATCTTATTCTTTTTCCAGACCACACGGAGGATCATTTCCTTTCAAGAGGAAAAGTTCTCACGTTTTCCTTTGTTAGATGTCCTGGGAATAAGGAAATTGTGCCTGAACTGATTGGTGGGAATATGTTGTAGGCATTTAGTTTCACTAGGCTGATGTGATCTCTTGACCCTGTTAGTGTTATTCTGAACAAAATCAAGATGATCATTATTCAAAATATAGACCTTTTTGACATTTTATATGAAAATTTTTGGCATAATGAGTTGACCAAAGAAATTGTTATGAAATTTGTTGAAATTTTAGAAAGCAAACTTAATATTTCAATAAAAATTGAAAGCAATGATAGGGCGTTAAATAGTCTCAGAGCAGCATTATTTCGCCTGAAAAGAGAAGGTCTGCGAACAAAAGTTAAGGGGGGTATGCAATTTAAAATGTTCAAGAAAAACCTAACAGAATCAAAGTATTGTTGGGACGTACCACAGGGACATTATTGTGAGAAAAGTGTTGAGATGCAAAAAATGGTATCGCATGTAAAAGAAATAGAAAATAATATTTTGAAATATGCCGAGCTTAAGGATAACGAGGAAAAAGCTCTTCGTAAAGAAAACAAGAACTTTGAACTAGAGCTTAAAAGAAAAGAGAAGTTGTTAGAAGA